GCAGGCAGGTGGGGGTACGTCAGTGTCTATGCAGGCAGGTGGGGGGACATCTAGTGTCTACGCAGGCAGGTGAGGGGACATCCAGTGTCTATGCAGGCAGGTGGGGGGACATCCAGTGTCTATGCAGGCAGGTGGGGGGACATCCACTATCTATGCAGGTGGGGGGGGAAGGGGGACATCCCATATCTATGCGGGCAGGTGCGGGGGGAGGACTGAGGCTGGGGCTGGAGACGGCAGCGGGGCTGAACAGGGAGCTGAGGGGGGTCAGGGAGCGGGTGTGGTGCTGGGCAGGCCTGGAATACCCGTTGTGTGGCCGTGTGTGTGTGCAGTGCATGGTGCTGTGAGTGTGAGCTCAGGGACCAGGGGGCTCATGCCTGCCTCTTTCCCGAACATGAGCCTGCGTGGGCTGGTCAGAGCTGAATGATTTTGTCTGAAGATCCCAAAATAGCTCATGTCGCCTGAGCTCCCCTCCCTGGCTGGGCCTGGGGCCTCAATGGCCCTTTGTCTTTCTGAAGGCATCTGGGCCTCTGTGGGGGGCTCAGACACTGACTGGGGCTGAGTGGAGCCAGGCCGCCTGCCTGGTTCCCCTTCCCCCTGGGCCAGCCCAAGGGGCCCTAAGCCTCATTCCAGTGTTGGCCTGGGCCAGCCAGGCCCCCCCATGTGACTTTCAGCTTGTTGGGCCCCCTTTGCTGGCAGATCCCAGGGTCTCTGTGTGGGAGCAAACTTCCCAGGCAGTCTTTGAGGCCCCTTCTGCCAGCCTGTACCTGGGGCTCCCCCATCCCTCCCACATCCTGGTACCTGCATGTCCTCCTCCTGCAGAGCCCACCAAGAGATCCCATGGCTGAAGGTGGTGGCAGCAGGCGGTCTGGCGCGTGACCTGGTAGCACGGCCTGGGTTTGACCCTGGCACTGCCCCTGGGACTCTGAGCTGGGAGGTGAGAAATGGGGAATGTGTGTGAACCACCTGTCTCTGCACAACAAGTCCTGTGCTGGGTTTTCCCATCCCTGGGCCACACCCTGTGCTGGGGAGATAAAAAGTCAGATCCTGCCCAGGGCACCCACGGTCAGCGCTGCTGGGACACTGTCAGCCTGGTGTGGACAGTGCCAAGGTCCAGCGGGGTGGGGGGGGGTCAGGGTAGGAGCTCCCCTGAGGAGAGGGTGAGGCCAGCAGGGGTGCGTCTCCAAGTGGTTCCTTTGACAGCTGCTCTGGATGGGACGTGGCTTGCGGTGGGTGAGACCCCTTGGCTGAGTGGATTTTCATGCAAGGTTTCATTGGAACACCAGGTTCCAGGGCCATAGAGATGTGGAGGCCTCCTGTCTGGGTGACGGGGCATGGTGCTGGTCCCTGGCGGGGGGGTGGAAAGGAGTCCCAGGAGAGGGAACTGGCAAGACAGGACCTTCCCAGCTAAGGTGGGGTTGGTGGGATTTGGCTGGGGCCCTTGGAAGAGCCTGACCAGGAGGGTGAGACAGGGCACCGGAGGGAAGGAGGCGTTGGGGAGAGTCCAGATGGAGGCCATGGGGTCAAGGGGCCCACAGGCCAGACTGTGGGACTCCAAGAAGGCAGGTGTGGGCAGTGGGTCCTCTGGGGTGGACTGAGGTGAGACCTGGGTGTGACCAGGCGGTGGCACTGGTGACTGCTGGCAGCTGTTGTCTGCAGAGTGGGTGAGAGTGAGTGTGGCAGATGGCTTGGTCTGCGGTGCTGGAGGGGACTGGCGGAGCAGAAGCGCCCTGGCGCCAGGTCCTTGCTTTCCTGGAGCTGGGGCTTGGGGGATGGGGTAGGTCGTTGCAGGGACAGAGGGGAGGGCAGGGTAATGGGTGCGCAGGGGTCTTTTCCAAAGGCTGCTGGTGGCCAGGGGTGTGCGGGGGACCGAGGTGCCGCCGGCGAGGGATTCTGGCCTCCAGGGTGGACGGACCTGGCATGGACTCTAGGGGTGGTGCACACACCGGACCAGACGGGCCCCTCGCTGATCCCCGGATCCCCCAACTGGGCAGCGGACAGGGAGAGGGGCGACCTTCGGGGGCGGGTGTGGTCCGCGTCAGGAGTCCCAGATGGGCCGAGACCCCCATCCCCCGCCCCGGGCCGCAGTGACGTCAGGGCCCCGACGTTCCTGGAACGGCCTCTCGGGGGCGTTCCAGGCCCACGGGCCCGCAGGGAGTCCCCGCCGCAATTTGCACGGGGCTCATTTGCATGACTCCGCCCCGCGCGGGAGTCGGGGGCGCTGGCGACTGGAGGAGCCACTGTCAATCCCCAGGGGAAAGTGGGCGAGGCGATTTCTGGGCCGCTCACCTCACTCCACCCTCCAGCTCGCCCCGCACCTGGGGCCCTCCCCCACCTACGCCCC